TGACGAAATACACTGCTGAGGGGAGCAGCGGGTGAGACAGGAGAGGTCTGCCGTTTCATGTGGGACCCTCGCCGGCTGGCCGGGATCGAACCCGCACTGCGGAGGCTGCAGAGAGCTTCACAGTATGGCACTCAACCACCTGCATCACCAGGGAGGCCCCTAATTTTTTATTTAGAATATAATTTTTTTGTTTAAATGTTTTTATGGAGGTAGCTTTGGTTTACATCATTGCTAGTATTTTAGTAAGAAAGGGTGTAGTTTTCATACCACCATAGTCCACAGATGTAATATTTTTAGTTGAGAAAATGCTCTCTGAGGTACCTGGTTAAATTATGCTAATGTAGGACATTGCCAATTGCACTTGTTTTCCTATTAAAATGTATCAACATTGTAAACCAAATATTATCCCAATTCTGGGACCCCCTACTTAGGTGTAGATTTATTTTGGAGGACTTGTGGAAGGGCGGGAGGGGGGGGGCGGGGGGGCGGAGGGGGCGGGGAGGGGGGGGAGGGGGGCGGGGGGGCGGGGAGGGGGAGGGGGCGGGGAGGGGGGGGGAGGGGGGGGCGGGGAGGGGGCGGGGGGGGCGGGCCAGGAGGATCTGAAGCACAGAGTATAGCAGAGCAGCAGGCACAGAGAGAAGAGACCTTCTGCTGCACCACTATGCGCTCTAGCTCCTATGCCCCCTTCTGGGGGCTAACTCCCACACTCCTTGCGGGTAGCTCCCTGGCCGGGGCTCGAACTCAGGCCGCAGCAGTGAGAGCTCTGAGACTAACCCCTAGGCCATCCTGGAGGTCCCGCCAGGGGCTTAGTTAAATGGAGCCTTTAACCTTTATTAGGAGGCTTCAGGAGAACTACTGACAGCTGCTTCTCCAGCAAGTCAGAAGAGACTATGGCTGCCCTTCCCTTCCTCAGTGATCATCACTGTCTCCTCCTAGGGCCCATGGGCGCTGAGGGAAGATGGCTTTCAGCAGCACCTCCATGTCTTCATCGGTGACAAGAGGGGGCAAAGTATGGGGATTTTTCAAGTCTAAAGTATTTTTCATTGATGAATCAGAAGAAAACCTACACAGTTCAGAAAGTAATCAGGATTGTACTGATCCTGAAAGATTTCTTTGGTGATGATCGTGTGTAAAATCAATATTTAGAAGTTTCTAGAGATTTAAGTATGGGGATTTTTCAAGTCTAAAGTATTTTTCATTGATGAATCAGAAGAAAAACCTACACAGTTCAGAAAGTAATCAGGATTGTACTGATCCTGAAAGATTTCTTTGGTGATGATCGTGTGTAAAATCAATATTTAGAAGTTTCTAGAGATTTAAGTATGCAGACTTCTGATGTCCTCATAGAATAATGAATGCTCTTAGGGAGCATGAAGAGACTCAAAAAAACAAAGTAAATAATCCAGTCACAAAATGGGCAGAAGAGATAAAAAGGAACTTCTCCAAAGAGGAAATGCAAATGGCCAACAGGCATATGAAAAAATGTTCAGCATTACTGCAATCAGGGAAATGCAAACCAAAACTACCATGAGATACCACCTTACAACAGTGAGAATGGCACATATTAAAAAAAACTAGCAACAACAAATGTTGGGGAAGATGTGGAGAAAAAGGAACTCTCCTGCACTGCTGGTGGGAGTGCAAACTGGTCTAGCCACTATGGAGAGCTGTGTGGAGATTTCTGGACCTACTAAACATAGAGCTTCCATATGATCCAGCAATTCCACTCCTAGGTATTTACCCAAAGGACACAGATACATTAATTTTAAAGGGCACCTGCACCCCTATGTTTATAGCAGCACTGTTTACAATAGCTAAGCTTTGGAAACAACCCAAATGCCCAAAAATAGATGACTGGATCAAGAAGATGTGGTCCATATACACCATGGAATATTACTCAGCATTCAAAAAAGACAAACTCATGCCATTTGCAGCAACATGGATGGAGCTGGAAGGGATCATGCTCAGCGAAAGAAGACGAAAGAAGACGAAAAACACTGGATGGTCTCACTCATAGCAGGAATTTAGAAACCAGCAAAGCACCTGTAGTCCATGACCTTAGTCTATCCTTTGCACTTGTTTTCTTCACGTTGTATAGAAGAAATGGATTAAGTAGAAGAAGCCATACATTTCTGGGCATTAAAGAATAGTTTGTGTGGTTGTTCAGAATCATCTTGGAAGGTGCAGTAATTTCTCTCTCCATATCCTCCAGATATTTCTTAGCTCATAAGTGTCTTCTAGTACTACCGTCTCTTCTCCCATCAGTATACACTCTGTTTGCCTTCCTTGCTCCTAGAAGCTGCCCAAGGACATATGACAATATTCTAAGATCTTTCCAGGCCCTCCATGGATGGCAGTGGTTTCATATCACGCTTAAACAATCTCCTGAGGTTGTGACCAGAGATTCGTCCATTGTCGCTGCTCTCACAGACGTGCCAGGGCTCGGGAGCGGCGCTGGGGGGCGATGGGGTCCAGCACAGAGGACGGAGGCAGCTGCCGGGGTCCGGGAGTCTCTTGGCCAGAGCCCGCCACACGCTGCCTTGAGGCGCCCCGGCGCTAGCGGAGGCGCCAGAACTTCCGGACCGAAAAAGCTTATTTTTTTTTTAAAGATTTATTTATTTATTTATACAAGCACTGGGTACAGTCAGAAGCGTGGGAGGGTGAGAGAATTCACCAGAGCCAGAGCAGGGAGCAGAACAGGCAGAAGGACCGAAGTACACTGCTGAGGGGAGCAGCGGGCGGCAGGAGAGGTCTGCGCGCCATGTGGGACCCTCCTCCGGTGGCCAGGGAGCAGCTGGGGATCGAACCAGCGCTGCAGAGGCTGCGGGCAGCTTCGCAACCCAGCACTCAACCGCTGCGCCACAGGGGAGGCCCTGAAAAAGCTTATTCAATCAGTGATCTCTAACCATTCTTTTGAATATTTAACTCATTTCAATGCTCTAAAACTATAGTCCTTCCCAATGGTGTTCATTCTCATATAGCGTATCAACTTATCCACTTGAAGATAGGGACTCCCTCAAAGGATTCTTTGTACAAGTTGAGATATTTCAAAGCCCAACTACAGATCTTCAAAATTAAATCTTCCCCTAGGGCCTCCCTGGTGACATTAAAGCAGCGCACTATGAAGCAATCCGCAGCTGTGGCAGGTGAGTTCGATCCCCAGCTGGCCAGGGAGCAACCCACATGGCGAGGAAGACCTCTCCTGTCTCACCCACTGCTCCCTTCAGCAGTGTATTTCAGTCAGTCTGCTTGTTCTCTTCCCACTCTATATATCTGGTGAATCCTCTCACCCCCGCATCTCTGGCCTGTACCCCAACTCTTGCATGCATAAATAAATAAATCTTTAAAAAAAAAATGAATCCTTCCTCTATTTTAGCCGTCATATCACTTTTCCAAAGCACCCCCACTGCTTGAGAAGATTAATGACTTCCTGTTTTTAAGTTTTGTTTTCTATAATTGCAATCTGTTTATAGATTCAAAAGTTGAAACTTTTTGGCCCTTTTATTTGCTGAGTATCTTGAATAAAGATTTGCTGAATATCTTGATTAAAGATTTCAACTGATTGGGCCTCCCTATTAAGCTACTCACAGCCCCCGCAGCACAAAATCGATCCCTGGCCAGCCAGGGAGCTACACTCGTGGTAAAGCAGACCTCTCCTGACTTGCCCGCTGTTACCGTCAGCAGTATACTTGGGTCAATCTGCCTGTTCTGTTCCCCACTCTGTCTCTGGTGAATCCGCTCACCACCCACCACACCCCTGCATCTCTGGCCTGTACCCCAGCTCTTGTATGCACAAATAAATAAATAAATCTTAAAATAATATACAGTTGAGAGCAAAACAAAGAAAGTGCTCACTGCTATGATAAACATGTTATATATATGTATATATGTATATATTTGTATTTAACATCAGTTTTCACAAAAAAAGTAGTTGTTACCATGCAAATATAAAAATACTTGCACATTTTGACAATGATAATTTCTATTTGAATCACAGAATTTATGTAAAAATTAAGAATTATGTGTACGTGTACATGCAAGCAATTCAAGTATCTTTTGCTCCCTGGGTTTCTTTATTTAGTAAGAATGGTGTTTTTACCGTACTGCTGTTATCTATCTAGTTTTTTTACCATTACTAAAATGAATCATTTGGTCTCTAATGTTGGACTCTGAATGATAATTTAATACATTTACAATCATATCAGATTAAATTTTCAGAAACATTAGACTTTATGAATTGAATTCTAAAAATGAGTCATTATTTTGCATTTAGATAACCGATTTCTTATTTGAATCATCTAAAGACACCGATATGAAATTGGCATTATTTAGCAGTGTACCAGAATCCTTTGCAATGTAGTTGGAGCCAACAGATTTAACAGATATCATTGAACTTTCATTTTGTGAACAAAAACCTTGGAATTAACAATGAGCAAAATTCTAACATCATTTTGATGTAAGTGAGCAGTTCTAGCTCACAGACAAGCAGATCTGTTTTCTGTAGCTGTGTGTGTAAAATTATTGTTTGTGTCAAGGTCTTTAAAAAGTCCATCTTCATGAAATAGATGCTGCGGCTTCTTTACCATAGTGTGTCCTGAGAATTTCACATGATTAGTGGTGTGACTATGTCTTATGATGGGTAAGTTTTGACAATCTTTTTGTGCAAACTGCATGCTCACTCATCATCACTTTTCTTGAGAGATGGAACTTAATTATTCATTAAGTACTTAATTTTTCATTAAATAAAATTAAATAAATTGCATAAAATAAATAAAGTACTTAATTTTTCATTAAATACACCCTTAAGATATTTAGAGTACACTGGCTGGAAGAGTTGATTACAAAATAAAAAGTTTACCAAACCATTGAAGGAAGTAGTTGCGGTTTTGTTTACACCAAAATAAATAAGACTACTGTAGTTGTGTTGCTTAGTGTGCATTTCCTGCATGTATCACACACACACACACATACACACATGCATTTCAACTATAATTTCCCACCTTGCTCACCCATCTCTCTGATGGCTCTCCTAGAAGCTGTTTCTCAGCGTTGGTCCATTCCATCAACAGATGACTGTAGACTCAGGTGACAGCAGCACAAATACTTCTAACACTACAGCTGCGGATGAGAAGATGCTGCCCCTAGCTGCTTAAATCCAGGTACATTTAAAACAAAGTCATGATTAGTATGTGCCTGGGACACTTGTCTCAGAAAAGAGGCATTAATGGCATTGGGTCTGGAAATGGGAGAGACAAGGAGAACCATCATAGGTCATCTTTTAGATCTAACCACACAGATGCACACCTCTCACAGAGGCCGAGACACCCTGGCAGATGTTGAGGATATTGAAGAGTGTTTTCCTAATCCATGCCACCTAATTTTAGTGCAAAAATTAATAACAATAAGACTTTAGCCAAAAATGAGGACTGATACTAAGACAACAGATACATCCCAGGATTAACCCAGGCAAACCTGGATGCAGGCTCACCTTTCCTCTCCACCCACACTTCTGTAAACAGTCCTTTGTGAATAACCCTCCCCTCCCCAACCCCCACACTCATCCTATTTTGAATGTGCCATCTGTTTCCTGTTGGGTTCCTGGCGGATACAGTGGGATAAAAGGCTGTTCACAATATATTGTTGCATGACAAAAGAAGATTGAGAAGTAGAGTGACAATATGCTCCAAATTAAGTATGCTAGATAGTCATGTATATATAATTGCATAGAAAAAAAATCCTGGGAACATATACATCAAAACATCACTTGTAGTTCTATGGGTGGCAGGATTAAAAGTGACTCTTTTCTTGTTTTCTTTATGTGGATTTAAAAAAATATCTCCAGTAAGCATGAATTGTGTTTGCAATAAGAAAAAAAAATGATTTTCATGATCCTTTATGAGAGGGGTGGGGGTCTGTGGTGCACACTGGCACTCCTCACATTCTCAGCACAGTGTGGTGCTCTGCAGTGTACAGGCACCATAGTAAGAATGGGCAGACCTGTGGCTGCCCAAGTGTTCTTGGGCAGAACACTTTTTTACCAAAGCTAAGAATGCCAAGTTTTCTATTTCTATGCATATATGTGTACTCAGTTGACTTCTCTTTCTCCTGACATATTCCGTTTGAGAAGGATGTGTTCATACTGTCTACACTAGACCTTCAATCTCAAAAAATCCCACTTCTAAGAATCATCTTTTCTCAACATTCCCTTGTGGAAACCTAAACCATATTTGCATTCCAAAAATAGCAATGACTTCTGCTCGTCTCCCCTTCGCTTTTGAAAATGGTTAACCCACATTTACAGTTCAAGATAGATAAGGATAGAGAGGGAGAGATGGACAGAGAGAGAGAGAGAGAGAGAACTCTACCGTAGAAAGCAAAGCTCCAGTGACATCATCTCATGATTTTTTATTAAAGGCCTGGAGAGAACTTGTTGGACTCTTACATAAGAGTGTGACCGCTGATAACAGAGTCTGTCCAAAGACACACCTAACTTGACTCTTCTGTAGAATGACGACACATTAGCCTGCCTCTCATCAAGGAGTGTGTTATGGTGCCTTTTTTTCCCCCACAACTTCAAGCTTAGAAGAAATTTTGTGTGAAAAATATTCCTCTGTCTTAGTTTTAAGTGGACTGACTCCTGTGATGTGGAGAATGGAGAGGAAGGAAGAGGTAAGGTTACCTACACATACACACAGATACAAATTTACACACACACACACACACACACACACACACACATTTGCATTGACATATTTGTCCTGTCAGAGACGCATAGAGCTTTTATAAAATTTCTCTCTCTCTGTCTCTCTCTCTCTCTGTCTCTCTCTCTCTCTCTGTCTCTCTCTCTCTGTCTGTCTGTCTCTCCCTCTCTATCCTTATCTATCTTGAACTATAAATGTGGGTTAACCATTTTCAAAAGTGAAGGGGAGACGAGCAGAAGTCATTGCTATTTTTGGAATGCAAACATGGTTTAGGTTCCCACAAGGGAATGTTGAGGAAAGATGATTTTTTTGATTCTTAGAAGTGGGATTTTTTGAGATTGAAGGTCCAGTGTAGACAGCATGAACACATCCTTCTCAAACGGAATATGTTAGGAGAAAGAGAAGTCAACTGAGTACTCATATATGCATAGAAATAGAAAACTTGGCATTCTTAGCTTTGGTAAAAAAGTTTTCTGCCCAAGCTAAAGAGTAACCCAAAGATTTAAATGGATCAGTAGCCTGCAATGACCAGTACCTATAGGGTGCTATGGTACCAAATAATATAGATGAGTGTTAACTATAATAGAAGTTAAGAGTATGCTTGTCCTAGCCCACAGCCAATATCATTCTCAATGATGAAAATCTGAAAGCATTCCCATTAAGATCTGAAACAAGACAAGGATGTCCACTCTCACCACTGCTTTTCAACATAATACTGGAAGTCCTAGGCAGAACAATAAAATAAGAGAAAGACATACAAGGAATCCAAATAGGCAAGGAAGAAGTCAAACTATCAGTATTTGTGGACGATAGGATAATATACATAGAAAACCCCAAAAAATCCACAGAAAAAAATAATTAAACTGATCAATCAGTTTAGTAAAGTGGCAGGATACAAAATCAACACTCAAAAATCAGTAGCCTTCCTATACACAAACAATAAATCTGAAGGAGAAGAAATCAAGAAAACCATTCCTTTTATTATTGAAACAAAAAAATCAAATACTTGGGAATAAACCTAACAAAAGAAGTAAAGGACCTATACAAAGAAAACTGTAAAACACTGTTAAAAGAAATAGAAGTAGACACAAATAAATGGAAAGACATCCCCTGCTCATGGATCGGAAGAATTAACATTATCAAAATGGCCATCCTACCAAAAGCAATCTACATATTTAATACTATTCCAATTAAAATTTCAATGTCATTCTTCAAAGAAATAGAAAAAATATTGATGAAATTCATATGGAGCCACCAAAAAGCCCGAATAGCCAAACCCTCCTGAAAAAAAAAGGGGAATGGAGGCATCACTCTCCCAGATTTCAAACTATACTACAAAGCCATAATAATAAAAAACTGCATGGTATTGGAACCAGAACAGACACACGGAACAATGGAACTGAATAGAAAACCCAGAAATAAACCCACAGATTTATGGTCAACTAATCTTTGACAAAGGAGCAAAGAATATGCACTGGAGCAACGAAAGTTTGTTCAATAAATGGTACTGGGAAAACTGGGTTGCTACATGCAAAAGAATGAAACTTGACTACTACCTCACACCATACACAAAAACCAACTCAAAATGGATTAAAGAACTAGACATAAGACGTGAAACCATAAAAATATATAGAAGGAAATATAGGCAAAACTCTACATGACATGCACCTCAAAGACATCTTTACAGACACATCACCCAACGCATTGATAGTGAAGGCAAAGATCAACAGCTGGGACTACATCAAATTAAAGAGCTTCTGCCCAGCAAAAGAGACAATAACCAAAACAAAGAGAAATCCCACCAACTGGGAGAACATTTTTGCACACAACACTAATGATAAAGGACTGATCACAAAAATCTACAAAGAGCTGATGAGACTCAACAAAAACAAAGAAAATAACCCAGTCAAAAAATGGGCAGAAGAGCTAAAAAGAAACTTCTCTGAAGAGGAAATGCAAATGGCCAACAGACATATGAAAAAATGTTCAACATCACTTGTAATCAGGGAAATGCAAATCAAAACTACCATGAGATACCATCTCACACCAGTGAGAATGGCACGTATTAAAAAAACTAGCAACAACAAATGTTGGGGAAGATGTGGGGAAAAAGGAACTCTCCTGCACTGTTGGTGGGAGTGCAAACTGGTCCAACCACTATGGAAAGCTGTGTGGAGATTCCTCAACCTACTAAAGATAGAGCTTCCATATGATCCAGCAATTCCACTCCTAGGTATTTACCCAAAGGACACAGAAACATCAATTCCAAAGAGCACCTGCACCCCTATGTTTATAGCAGCACTGTTTACAATAGCTAAGCTTTGGAAACAACCCAAATGCCCAAAAATAGATGACTGGATCAAGAAGATGTGGTACATATACACCATGGAATATTACTCAGCATTCAAAAAAGAGAAACACATGCAATTTGCAGCAACATGGATGGGGCTGGAAGGGATCATGCTCAGTGAAGTAAGTCAGAAAGAAAAAGAAAAATACTGGATGGTCTCACTCATAGCAGGAATCTAGAAAACCTAAATAAGGGACCAGGAAAAATAATAAGTATAAGAAAAAATCAAAATCAACAAACAACTATGAACCAGAGACACTCTATGGGGGGTAGGGGGCAGGGAAAGGAGGGATTGGGGACAAAATAAGGGGGTTGCAATTGTATGGGGAATATAAAAATAAAATAATAAAAAATGAGTAAGCTTGTCCTAACTGTGTATGAGCCAAGAAAGATGAGAATGAAAAATTGGTGAAAGAATAGATGAGGAGTATGTGCAAAGAACATTCTATGTAGAAAATAGAGGAACTATTTCCCCTCTTCCTAGTGACAATGGCTTAATAGAGAGGACCCAAGCACCTCCCAAAGTTACAGAGTTGGAGGGGGGGGTGTAGGAACAAAGAAGAAGAAAGGAGGGATTCATTGGGCAAAAACATAGTTGAAGACTGCAGCCCTGTACCTGCCATGGGAGGATTTTAGAGGCACTTATTAAGGGTCAGAGAGATGCAATGCAGGTTGAAGAAGCAAGCTGCCTAGTCAAAGAGAGGGCAGTGGGAAGAATCCAGAAATAGAGCTGGAAGATCCAGTTCCAGCAGGAGGAGCATGAAGGAGACAGATGAAGTGGGGAGTGAAAGCCCCTTGGGGAGGTGGGTTGGATGTAGGCCAAGGAGGGTGGTGGAAAATAGCTTTTGGTGCCAAGAGAAGAATGAATTGAGTGAGAGGCCATGGGAGGGTGGAGGGAGAGGGCACAGGGCAGGTCCCACAGGAATTGCAGACATTCAGTGAGAGATGATGATTATTCCAGCTGTCCGCCCGCTCTGTTGATTTTATGCTGGCAGAAGGAGGGTCTGGATGGGACTGATAGTGGCAGGCAAGGGAGGAAGGGGGTGCTGGGGAAAGGCAGAGGGTCAGGGTGTTGGCTGTCATGAGCCAGTGTGAATGATAGCATTGCCCCATGAGCTCCTCACGATTGGGATCATTTCTATTTTTATGTTTTGTGGAGTGCTGATCCTAGCCCAGATTGTGTTCTGAGAAAGGCCAGGACTACCTAAAAAAACATCTCAGACTCAGTCCTGTGGACATGGGGTCATTCTGAAGTCCTCCTTGAAGAATGCGCCATCTTCACTGGGGCCTTAGAAGCACAGAATAGAATCCAGGGGACGGGATGTCATTGACCAGAGTATGTTGACTTCACAGGACCCCTTAATCCCTATTAGTCTCACTGCCCTCCTGGCTTCCCCCATCTCACCCACTTCTCATGGGAGCCTCAGAGAAGGGTCTCTATAGAGCAAGACAAACATGGGGAAGCTGAGGCAAGCAATGAGCTGTGTCTTCCAAACTTTCTCCTCATTTTCCAGCATTGAAAAAGAGGCAAGTCAAGAGGAGAAAGGTTTTTAAATAAAGAGGAATGTGGGCTTATTGTCTGTCATCTCCACACTCTATAAATCAGTCGCAAGATCTGTAGGCCCCCAACAACTAAATATATTTTTAGGTTCCATTTCAGCAACTGTTTTCTAGAGATGATATAGTCCACTTCATTATGTCTCATCTCATGCTCTAACCATCCCATTCTGTCTTGTCTGTCTGTTGTTCCCTTGACATTAATCCATTGCTTCTCTTGTTCTCTGCTTTTGGTAGAGGACAAGCCTTAGAATCAAGTGCTAACGTGGTCCAAGTGTTGGAGATGGCAGATAAGGCATGTGGCTGGTAGGGCTCAGGAAATGACAAATAACAGAAGGTCCTAAAAAGAAAGATGTATGGAAATCCAAAAAGGAGATGAAGTTGTTGATATTTCTTTCTTTTAAAACAACCTTAATATGGGGCCTCCCTGGTGGTGCAGCGGTTGAGCTCTGGGTTGCAAAGCTGCCCGCGGCCTCTGCAGTGCCAGTTCAACCCCTGGCTGCTCCCCGGCCACCAGAGGAGGGTCCCACATGGCACGCAGACCTCTCCTGCCGCCCGCTGCTCCCCTCAGCAATGTACTTCAGTCTGCCTGCTCTGCTCCCCGCTCTGGCTCTGGTGAATTCTCTCACCCTCCCGCGCTTCTGACTATACCCAGTGCTTGTATAAATAAATAAAAATCAATCTTTAAAAAAAAAAAAACCTTAATAGGATATAGTTTATCTAGCACACAATGCTTCCATACGGTTCAGTGGCTTTTCGTATATCCAGGGTGTGTATCACCATGATTTTAAGACATTTTCATTACTGCCAAAAGAAATCCTTCACCCCTTAGTCATCATCCCAACTCTTCCCCCAATTCTAGGCAACAACTAATTTACTTTTGCTGTGAGATTTCTTCAACCCACTGCCAGTTTCATCCAGGATGAATTTACAGCATGCTTTAGAGTATATGAAGTACTTTCCTAGAGTCACTCAAATTTTGATCTCTTTCAACTTATTTAAGTAAGCAGGACAGGTGGTTTTATCTTGCATGTTTCAGATCAGAAAACTGGGGTATCTGAGTGACAGCATTGTAACTTCCATAGAGGAATGAAATGACACATCCCCCTTATGTCTACAAAAAAAAAAATAAATGAAGAGGTGTTTGTGACTAACATTTCCTTCACTGTTCCACAAAAGTTAGGAAAATAAAGACAAAAGGCAAGATGAAGAGGCAAGAAGAAAGGGCTAAAGTGCATTTGGAGGAACTGAGGTGAAACATCTGCTAGAATGTTCTAATTAAGATGTATGAGCTGCTGGAATGTATTGCCCAAGGTAACTGCAAGATCTCCTTTTCGTGGGATTAAAAAAAAAAAAAGAAAAAAAAAAAAAAACCCATAGCAGAACTCTGGCAGGATTTATTTTAAGGAGTGGTTGTATTGGGAAGCAGGGGGATGGATTAGGTGGCTGGCCAGTCTCTCCCAGTGCTGGGAAACCAGGAAGGCAGGTGGCAGACACATGTCATCTCTGCTGACATGAAGTTATTCATAGTCCTTATGAAGAGGCCCCTATTTATTTTTGGTCCTCCTGTCTATAAAGTGAGACACTCTATACTCCTTCATCTGAGGGCCAAGCCCTTGATGAGGCATTGTAGAAACTCTAGAAACAAGGCCAACACACAATCCTTCTCATCTATTTAAATTCTCTTTGTGAGACAATAACAAAAACAAAGAGAAACCCCACCAACTGGGAGAACATTTTTGCACACAACACTAATGATAAAGGACTGATCACAAAAATCTGCAAAGAGCTGATGAGACTCAACAAAAACAAAGAAAATAATCCTGTCAAAAAATGGGCAGAAGAGCTAAAAAGAAACTTCTCTGAAGAAGAAATGCAAATGGCCAACAGGCATATGAAAAAATGTTCAACATCACTTGTAATCAGGGAAATGCAAATCAAAACTACAATGAGATACCATCTTACACCAGTGAGAATGGCACATATTAAAAAAACTAGCAACAACAAATGTTGGCGAGGGTGTGGAGAAAAAGGAACTCTCCTGCACTGTTGGTGGGAATGCAAACTGGTCCAGCCACTGTGGAGAGCTGTGTGGAGATTTCTGGATCTACTAAACATAGAGCTTCCATATGATCCAGCAATTCCACTCCTAGGTATTTACCCAAAGGACACAGAAACATCAATTCCAAAGAGCACCTGCACCCCTATGTTTATAGCAGCACTGTTTACAATAGCTAAGCTTTGGAAACAACCCAAATGCCCAAAAATAGATGACTGGATCAAGAAGATGTGGTACATATACACCATGGAATATTACTCAGCATTCAAAAAATAAACACATGCAATTTGCAGCAACATGGATGGCTGGAAGGGATCATGCTCAGCGAAATAAGCCAGAAAGAAAAAAAAAAATACCGGATGGTCTCACTCATAGCAGGAATCTAGAAAACTTAAATAAGGGACCAGGAAAATGAATAACTATAAGAAAGTGAAAATCAAAATCAACAAAAAAACTATGAACCAGAGACACTCTATGGGGGGTGGGGTGGGAGGGAGGGATTGGGGTCAAATAAGGGGGTTGCAATTGTATGGGGAATATAAAAATAAAATTTATTTTAAAAAAAATTAAAAAAATAAATTCTCTGTGTTAACTGTGTATTCTGTTTATCTATTACAGTTTAACAAGGTACCCCCAAACTTAGTGGTTGGAAACATCTATAAAGTATTATTATAGTTGACAGTTCTGTGTATGGACTGGGCTCAGCTGGGCAATTCTTGCTTGGTTGTCTCATGAAGCTGCAGTAAGATATTGACCCTGGCTGCCAGTTCCAAAATGGCTCACTCAAATGGCTGGCAACTGATGCTGGTTGTAGGCTGGAAGCTCAACTGAGGTTATCAAATGAACTGTGCTCATTTGGCTTGTGTGATGTGTGCTTCTCATAGAATAGTGTTTTCTGGAGGGTTTAGGTTTATTTCACTCACATGCTCAGCATCCTGATGGGGTAAGTTAGAAGGTTGGGCTCCTGGTCTGTCCAACATGGTAGTCAAAGGGTCAGGTCAGGGGTCTGAGAGTAATCAGAAGTAATCAGTTCTTTTAAATGTCAGACCTGAACTGGTATCGTATCACTTCTACGGTTATACTCTGTGAGTCAAAACAGTCACCACCTACCTCAGATTCAAGGGGGGAGAAAATAGATCCCACCTTTAAATGGGAAGAGTTTCAAAGGACTTACATCTGCCATGCAGTAGAGAGTAGTCAGTGATGGACTTCGGGTTCTCAGAGAAGATGCACAAAACCTGAAAATAAAAATATACAAACCAAGGTTCATTTTAATAAATTTATAGGGATAAGAATTGGGCTAGAGATCAAGAAGATGTGGTATATATACACCATGGAATATTACTCAGCGTTCAAAAAAAGATAAACACATGCAATTTGCAGGAACATGGATGGCACTGGAAGGGATCATGCTCAGCGAAATAAGCCAGAAAGAAAAAGAAAAATACCAGATGGTCTCACTCATAGCAGGAATCTAGAAAATTTAAATAAGGGACCAGGAAAAAGAATAACTATAAGAAAGAAAATATCAAAATCAACAAACAACTATGAACCAGAGACACACTATGGGGGGTGGGGGGCGTGGAAAGGAGGGCTTGGGGCCAAAATAAGGGGGTTTTAATTGTAAGGGGAATATCAAAATAAAATTTAAATATAAAAAAGAATTGGGCTAGAGTGGTAAGTTTAAGGTGGCGGAAAGCCTGAGGTTAAGTGAGCTACATCTTAGACTAAGTCATTAGTTAATCCCTTTATTTAATAGACATTTATTGAACCCATAGCTAATGTCAAGTACATGTACTGCAGAGATAACCATGATGTGGACCCTACTTTCTAAATACCCAGCCTGGTAATACATGCACTAGATGATATCCCAAATCCAAACAGTAGTTTCTGGTAGACCAGCTACTCTCAGCATATACAATTGATATCAAAAGGCAGTTTGTCTTACAGTTCTTACTTACTTTACTTTGTAACACAGTGTTACAAAGATTGATGGGATGGGTCTCTTGATTTATCTTGCTTGATTTAGCAAGATATCAAGCAAAAGCAGAAAGAAGTATTTATTATTATTAATAAAGATAGATAAAAGATACGGGGCAGAGTGGCCAGGTTAAATAGATTTCTCTGGAGAGATTCCTTCTGATGGAGATATGTGCTTTCATGGAAAATTATTTGGAAGAAATGGGGTATGTTCAAGAGCCTTGGGTTCAGTTGAAGTTGCTTGGAGGCCTTGAGAAAACAGTGGCTATAATTCATGTTTCTGGACCAGGATTTTTGGACAGATCCAAAAGGATTCCCAGTGGGGATGTGAGACTGCCAGTTTAAGGAACTTTTCCTTGTTATTGCTTAATGTGCATAGTGCAGTCCTATTCTAAGGAGAAGGCACATTTTTTGAGCAAAAGAGGAAAAACAGGGAGGTAGCGAGAGAAGCAATCACAAATGGAGAGCTGGACAGTGACACACCATTGGCAGAGGAAATGAGAAGAGGGCTCCAGGTTGTTTATTTCTACTTGGGTTTGCCAAGGTCAATTGTTAGATCTCCTTTAATTGAATGACAGGTCAGCTGGAAAAAGGAATATATTTGGCTAATTTGGCTATCTTAAAAATAGAATTGATTTTACTAGAAGAAATAGCTACTATATTATACTGAACCACACAGAGAAAACCTGTAGAAAAAAGCAGAGATGGCCCTTGCACAGGAGGTGAGGCGAGGATGTCAACCTAATGCCCCTCTTAGCCAGTTCTGGAAGTGAGACGGGAGCACTGCTGAAGATCAGGAGGAGAGAGGATTTATAAGGAAGGGGATGGGCCATGGCTTCCTCCTTCTCTAATCTACCTTTTACATTACCCCAACTCACCTTCCTAAAACATTGCTTTCACTATGCCTTTCTCTTGACCAATGACCTCTAGTAACTCATGTTTGCAAAAGTAAAGATGCTCCTTAGTTTTTTTCATTTCAGCCTATCAAGCTGGTTCTACTTTCCAAAATGTTAGCACCCAACATCAGCAGGGTGGTTCCCTGGTTCTGTACCCATCTGCCTTGGTACCTTTTCGCCACCTGACACATGCTTTCTATTCTGATTCTAGATATTTTTTAAGTCTTCTTGCACTAGAAACTTTCCTAAATCACTCAAAAATGAGCTCCCTGTTTTGATTTATGTGTTCATTTGTTTAATAATTCATTTACTCATTTGTTCATTTACTTACTCAATTAATATTCATTTGCTGATTATATTTATTATGCATCTATTTGCCAAGCACTAGTCATATGGATTTAAGGCATATTCCCTGCTGTCAAGGAAGTTGAAAATGAATGAAAGAACTATAGGACTCACTCAATAGCAATATTATATTAGCCTATCTTGCTAGTGGTGTTCTCTGTGTCTTCTTTCTGTGTTGTTTTTTAATTTGTAAAATATGTTTTCCATAAAGGCAGTTTGTCTACAGTTCTTTCTATCCCTCAATCAGGCTGACCAATATTAAACTTTCCAAAATGATGTAAGATTTGGGAACATGTGAGAGCAGGGCACTGATCGCAACAAGTGTGTGGGAGTCGAGAGAATGGGGGGAGAGAGACGAATATATGAGATTTGATGACCTTAAAAGGAGATACATTAATTTGTGTGATGATTGGGACTAAAAACCCAAGGACGATGGATGTCTTCCCTGTTTAAAATCAATGTGTCCATGAGGAAGCCTCAGAGGATCTCCCCAATTTGTATGACCTCGCCATGTTTCAGAGCTCCAGGAATATGAGGGCCTTCTGAGAAGCAATGGAGAAAGCCACTAGGACTGAGTGGTGAAGTGAGTTAGCCTGCTGTCTGAGTGATTAGCCAGCAGAGAGGGCACCCAGGCTGCTCACCTCTCAGGAAGTGGCCAGGGCAGGTGGCAATGTCAAGTTTGAGAATCACAGTGGCCAAGGTTCTGTCCTTGGATTCTAGATCATTACCAGAGGAGAGACCCCCCTACCTGGCCCACTCTTCTCTTTCTGCTTAGGTCTGGTTTTCTGGGGTCAGCCCATTGTGGGGTGTGTGTGTGTGTGTGTGTGTGTGTGTGTGTGTGCATGTTCTGGAGCATGCATGACTCCACTGAAGAACACAGTAAAATAAAAGTCAAGAAGGGGAACTGCCTTGGCTTGGCTCTGATGACTTGTTGGATTTGGGAGCAATCACTTTTTTTAGGAACCTTAGTTTTCCTATCTGAAAATAAGAGAGCTGAATTAGTTCATTTTGCTCAACTTATTTCCTCTTAAAAGAAATCTTTCATGGGCTTCCCTGGTGGCGCAGTGGTTGAGCACTGGGCTGCGAAGCTGCCCACAGCCTCTACAGTGCTGGTTCGATCCCCAGCCACCGGCGAGGGTCCCACATGGTGCGCAGACATCTCCTGCCACGCCTCCTGCTCCCCTCAGCAGTGTATTTCATCAGTCTGCCGGTTCTGTTCCCTGCTCTGGCTGGTGAATTCTCTCACCCTCCCGTGCTTCTGACTGTACCCAGTGCTTGTATAAATAAATAAATAAATAGATAGGTAGATAAATAAATAAGTAAATCTTTAAAAAAAAAAAAAGAAATCTTTCATCCAACAAATCATAGTGCACATAGTCAGCCTGCAGAGCACATAGAATCAGTGCTAGATCACCTGATGAGCCCCAGAAGGGAAAAGCCGATCTCCCCTTTCTCGACACCCTTTTCCTCTTCATCTCATTCCCCAACCCCCAAACATTTATTTTGAAGACCTTTGGATCAGAGCAGAGGGCCCTACCTTTTACTGCTCAGGGTATATAACCAACAGTAATTTTAAGTAACTCACACCTAGTGTTGACATATTGATAAATTATGTGCCTTCCTGTTGTCCATCCTGTGCCATTAATAAAGTTCTTTTTTTATTTTTTAACTTTTAATTTTGAAACAACAGGTTTATTAGGAAAAGGAGAAAAAGTCACCTGTAAAGTCACAGGTGGGCAGAGAGCTGCCTCTTTTTCATTTGTTAAGCACAAAATAAGTGCAGCTGGAAGGTTCAATCTCTTTCACCACACCCTAATGAATTGTCTTGTCAAATCCTGAAGTTCACACACCCCAGTTTGGAGACTGCTGTCCCCTAGGGGCCCCAAAGTTCTTTCCAGCCCTGCTGTTAGAAGAGTCTGATTCTGCAATGGGAAAAGAAATAATACTAATAACTCCCAGTCCTGTTTATTGCTCAGAAAAGAAGCCATTTTCTGGGTGCCTGGGAGTGTAAAAGCATTGTACCCCATTAAAAATCGAAGAGTCACCCAGATGTTAGTGGGCCAGGCCCACTCTGCTGGCTCAGGCATCTGCTTGGGACTTCCCCTCTCTCACCTGTAGCGTGTCTGCAGCCTCCTGGTAGAATTTCCCAGCATGTGTCTGGCATGTGCCTCTTCTCAAGCTGTGAACTGGTAGCCCTGTACCAGGCTGTGCCAGGAGATTGTTTCAACAATCTGTTAATAAACAAAGCACAGCAGCTCACAGATCCTCCATCACTGCTTAAAAAGTATTTTGTGAGAAGTAGGGTGTTAGGTTGCTGTCTGTGGTCCCCATGCCCTTTTCCCTGTGCTCTGACCCAGTGACTGTTCTATTCCTGGAAAAGAAGCGGAGTTTGGGGGAATTGCTGGGTCACTTTCTGGGGAGGACCGTAGGGCTCAGGGGAGCAGTGACCGAGACCCAGTCCCCATCCACTCATAAGTCATTCCAGAGATATGAAAGCTGGCAGAATTGCCAAAGCCTCCTTGCCAAGGCAGGCTTCTCTCCAAGGGGGCTTCTATATTTATGTGAAACAGAAATGAAACACAGCACTGGAAGGGAACAGATACACATCAGGCTGCCCCCTGCGAGTGCAGATTTAACAACAGGCGAGACAGTGGGGAGAGGCATGGAGGGAATCATCCAGAACAGAGCGGTGACTTGGTGGGCCTCAGGGGTCTGGACCTAGGGAGGCAGCCAGAAAACTGTACAGACAAAAGCCAGAGTCTTAACAGGCCTCTGTGGACGTCAGTGTGGCTAACATGGAGACATGGCCGCCTGTGTCAGTGCCTGTGTCAGTTTCTGAAGGTTGCCATGACAAAGTACCACAGAGTGGGGGGCTGAGAGCAGCTGGTATTTATTATCTCATGGTCCCGAGGCTAGAATTCTGAGACCAAGGTGTCAAAAGCACCATCCTCTCTCTGATCCTTCTTTGTCTCCTCTGGCTTCTAGAGGTTGCAGGCATGGTTGGTGTCTCTTGGTTTACAGATGCATTTGTCCAATCTCTCCCTGTCTTCATGTGACCTTCTCCCCTGTGTGTCTATGCTTTTTGTCCAAAATTCTCTCTTCTGATAAAAACACCAGACATTTTGGGTTTAGGGGCCCACCCTACTCCAGTGTGGCCTTTATTTTACAATTATATCTTCAAAGACCCTATTTTCAAATAAGGTCACATTCACAGGTTTGGGTGGATATAAATAGGAGAGGGCACTAGTCAATAGCACCCCAGTGCACCTGTTCAGGGAAGAACAGGGGCCAGAGAGAACCAGCTCTTTTTGCTTTACTCTTTTGGGCTCAAAATATTACATCCATTCTCTAGTTTAGCAAAGTCCCTGGGTGAAAGAGAAGGTTGACGAACTCTTTAGCTCTTCATAATGGCAGGTCTCCCAGAAGTCCCAATGCTTCAGCCTCGTCGCAGTGTAATCCAGGAGAACAGAAGGCTTAGCAGTTTTATAAGATCACCAGGAAAGGGTATACACAAAACACATCCTACTGGATGGGAGAAAGTCCAAATTTCACACACTATCCCCGCCTGAGCTATGCCGCCTCATCCAAGTACAGGGACATTTTTTCTGAATTTTAGCTTTGCAGATAAACTCTCAAGTTGGGACACGGACTGCTCTTCTTCACTATTTTTTACAGAGAATTTTTCACTTGCTTGGTCTACATTTTCTTTTCTTTTCTTTCTTAAAGATTTATTTATTCATTTATACAAGCACTGGTACAGTCAGAAGCGCGGGAGGGTGAGAGGATTCACCAGAGCCATAGCGGGGAACAGAACAGGCAGACTGATAAAATACACTGCTGAGGGGAGCAGCAGGCGAGCCAGGAGAGGTCTGCGCGCCATGTGGGACCCTCGCCAGTGGCCAGGGATCGAACCAGCGCTGTAGAGGCTGCGGACAGCTTCGCAGCCCAGCTCTCAACCGCTGTGCCACTGGGGAGGCCCTACATTTTCTTATATTTTTTGGCTTCCCCCGTTTCCACTCCTCTCTTTCACCTCTTAATTTTATCTCTTCTGCCTGTTGTTTCCTTCTAATTTTTACTTTCTAAAAATTAAGAAAAATTAAAATATCCTCTTTCTAGTCCTTCTCTTGACCTATCGCCTGAATTGCTAACTGAAAAGAACTCAGCTTCTCTCCTGGGTGTCCTCACCCACTCACTCTGCTGTAACCTCTATGGCTCCCCCCGTTCAGAGAGATGGGGCCAGAGAAGAGAAAATGAGATCTGGAAATGGGGGAGCAGGAGGACCAGAGCGAAGTACGACACCTCAGAGGAAACAGTGAAAAATGCCAGGAAATGACTGAAACTCACGGCCAAGTCCAGCCAAGACCAACAGCCCCCCAAATGGGAGGGACAGTGGAAAGAAGCGTGAAAACTCAAGGACATGGGCTTGGGCAGCATGTAATAAAAGGGTAGAGCAGCTCATCCAGAAGAAATATAGGGAAAAGGAAAAGAAAGACACTTAGGGCGCAGAACTAGCCAGGCAAGTCGGAACAGAGAATTCAAAGTAGAGACCTCGTTGAAGATGGTGATATTTGGTTAAATCTGAAGCACGGAGTATCTAGTTCCGAAACCCTGACCTATTCTCATAATCTGGTGCATTAAGCCCTTGGCTTAACGGGGGGTGCTGCTTCATCACACCTTTTATGTTTCCCAAAGAACAATGCTTTGGCCAGGGGTCCTCCTACTTCCCTTCAGCACTTTCAGAGGATAGATGTCCCCAAGCTGGCTGGAGGAAGGTTGGTGAGGTTCCCTGGGAAGTATGGTCCATCTGGAATCAACAATGATAAGCGCACATCTTGGAAGTCTGTGATTTTCTGCTGCAGTGCTGCATTCTTTTTAGCACCTCCTCCTTCCCAGGGGTTCTCAGACCCACTCTCCTTCAAGACCCCAAAACTCTGGCCCAAGCCCCATCATACTCAGATAGGGACATCCTCATTAACACCAAGTAGAAACCACCTGCTAGCTACAGTCCATTCTCCAAAGGCTTAATATCAGTTGTCTCCTCCCCATGCGGTCCACAGGTAACAACTCACCAAAGAACCCAAGGACTGAACTTTATGAGGTAAAGAGATCCTAGCAAATCTAAACAAGGGCTTGATGGTGGAGAAGTATTTAGGGGGAGCCACTTAAGCTTGACAGTTTATGATCAAAATTATTTGAGAAAATTCCTTAGAATTCAGTTACTTCAAGTTTTTTTTCGACAGATAAAACGGTGAGATGATCTGACATTAAAAACAGCTCATCTTCTGAGCTTATTGACTAGGTTGGTCTGTGTTTGGGGCCAGGTGAACAAAATGGTGTCTTGGCCAAGTCCAGTTTGAAGACTTTGAACATGAGCACTTCTGAGCTGGACTGGAGGAAATTCCATGTCTTGCTTCATAGGCTCCACGCGCAGCTCACGCAAAGCACACGCAGTTATTTCTCTTGTTCTCTTTGCTGAAAACATGTAACTAAAATCTACATGAGTTAAAAGTGAGTTTGAAAGACTCTTCTCTAGCCGCAAGTGCTGGGGTGCACCGGCAGCAGGACGAAAGGGTCACCAAGACCCCCTTCTGAGACCACTGGGAAAGGCAGAGCTGGCTTAGAATTAGGTGAGGCCTAGGAGGCCCACGTGACAGTGAGCATAGCCTGGAGATGAAAAAAGATGTCACTGTGTGTTCTGGGTTTTCTTACCACCACACTGAATTTTACTCCAGCGGGAGCTCCGCAAGTGTGTCGATGTTTCTGAGATACATTTAGCCTGAGCCCCCACCAGGGAAACCGGGTGAGGCCCAGAGTGGTGCAGCAGAGGGGAAGGTGAGAGCTGCAGCTGGGCAAACAGAGCCTGCATTGTTCCTTCCCACCCCCCTCCACACAGCATCAGTTCTGCAGCCGGGTGGGTGCCTCCTGCAGAATGGAGCCAACAGGCACCAGGGCCTGTTCTGTTTACACAGGTGCCTTCCCTCCCCAGGGAAGCTGGGCCTCTGCAAACACGCGTGACCACATGCTGCCAGAAGATGGATGCTCACATCTGCATGCTGCCAAGGGGAGAAACTGAGGCCCAGAACAGGGAAGGAAGGCTTTTGGGCTGAGCAAAGCAATGATGGGAGCCGGAAGGGCAGGCAGGTGTTCTGATTCCCCACTGACCGCTCTGGTTACCAGGCTCCTTTGTCTTCTCAGACCTGCTCTCGACAGGGACAAAGCTTTGGGACTTTTCACTTCAGGAGACGGCAGCCCTTTCCCATCTACACTGCGAGCTGAAGCCAAAACTCCTTTGTGGCTGGGGTGGGGGCTGGGTCAGTGACCCCCAGGCAGCCACACCTGCGAGAGCTGTGAGCACAGCCCAGCCACAGAGCACAGGGAGGGGGGCTGGTGCGGAGCCCGGAAAACATTGTCACCTGCTTAAAAATGCCCCCGACACAACTGATACCACCCTACTCTGTCCTTCCCCGTTCCTCCCCCAGCTGCGGAGTCTACCGAGAAACAAACTCTTAAGGGAAGCCAGACTACTTGCTTATTTGTTCCTTTTCCCCCCAATTGCCCAATTTCAAGCCCTCAGTTCAAATGCTCCAGATTCTTCAACAGATAAAGTAAAGGCGATGACAACGCAGGGGGAACCACCGATGAAAGGAGATTTAAAAAATACTTCCCTTTCTAAAAAAATGCTCGAGACTAAACTGTGGACTCCAGGGGTGCTCACCTGATGCTAAGACTATAAAAACAAAGAAGCAATGAGTATAAACGTGAGAGGTTGAGGAGCATGGTCACTTTGGGGAGGGTAAAGTTAAGACTTAGGGGACATGTGGAAGGGACTATTTCTTTACCCTGGCACTGACTGCAATGCGCAGGCCTTGTAACATCCAGTAAGCTGTGCAATTGTTTTATGTGGGTCTTCTGTGTCCATGCTTTATTTGACAATGAAAGGGTTAAAGTCATTGGTCCCTGTCCTGGAGGCTGGACAGCTGGGTCCTGCAGGATGTGGGTCTGCACCACATATCCGTCCCGGATGATGGAACCATGTCCGAGTGGCAACTATCCTGGGTACCCCGGCCCTCGAGCCTAACTTCATCAGTGATTCTCGGACAAAGGGTACATGTGGCATGGCAGAGCAGAAGGGCAAAGCCTGTCCTCACTGCTATGCACAGATAAGGCACCCCAAGGATTTCTTCAGAACAGTCTCTCAGGTGGATGGTGGGGACAAATCCAAAAGACTCATGTGCCCATGGAAGCTGGTGTTTTCTGGCAGATCAATGCTGCTGCCCACTACAGCTCAGGGCTCACTCTGGAATTGTCTCCACCCACCTACCCTTAGCTGAGGTCTGCCTCTCCTCTGTTTCTTGAGGGCTAAGACAGTCATGGGGTCTGCCAGGGATGCAATTGTGACTAATACCAATTCTAGGAACAAACCCTTCCAAGTAAATGATCTGTTGGTCCTCACAGGCCATCAGAGACACTCAAATATTACCCCAGTGTCTCCAAGTGCGTGCATACAATGTGTGCAGGCCTGTTTAGAAAAAGACAGCAGGTTGCTAGGCAATGTGTTCCAAAAGGGAGAGTGTGAAGAAAAAAATAATAAATAAACAGATGACAAGGATGAGATCCAAAGCCTGTTAGGACGACAGCATTTGGGTCCAGTTCATTTGCGTTTGATGGGAGTATCACGGGGACATCAGGGCTTGCTCAGCTCCAGCATCAGTTTCCAATCTTGCCTTCCAGCTCCTCACCCTCTGTCTTATGTGGTGGGGAAAGCTGAGATGAAATATGGCTCTCTGGAGGGCCATGCCTTTGTGAAAGGCTATTACAGCTGTAACAAAACTTTTGTAATCTGCACTGTGTCCATTACAGCTACAGGCTCCTTGGGGCTCTTCCAGCCTCAAGGAAAACACACACACCCTTTCTTTCTCTCCTTCTCTCTCTCTCTGTCTCTCTGTCTCTCTCTGCTCCCTCTTCCTTCCTGCCTCCCTCTCCCCAACCTCTACTTTTTCACTTTCTAAAAGGTTATCACAGTCATTCTTTTCACATAAGTTTTTCTCTAACCTTTAAAGGACATTGGCCTGACATCTGTAGAAAGGCTGTGTGGCATCTGCTGAAGACTTGTTGAGTCATTGAGGCAGATGCAGACCACAGGGGTGGGGGAGGGTGTGGTGGGGGGATGGGATGGGGGTGCAAGGAGGGGAGGTCACTGCAGTGTCATAATGTGAAGCTTCTCTGAGTCTTCTTAAACTTGGAGAGCAACCTATTGCCTGCTACCCCTCCTGGCAATGAGAACCTGTCCTTAGGGAGGGCTTAGGTCACGTGCCCACCCATCCATCAGCTCCATGATTGCTTTTGGGGGGGACAGTTTTACTTTGTGCTGAAGGAAATGAGATAGAACCACATCACCTGGATTCTTGTCCCAACCCCACTAGTGGTTCTGAGCTGTGTGGTCTTTCAATTTCGTCACTGGTAAAACAGTGTTGCTAATTCTCACCTTGTCATGCAAGTTCCAAGGAGATGCTGTGCTCAAGTGCAGGCAGTGCACGGCCTCATTCTCCCCTTTGCAGTCGGGTGTGTTCTGGACGCTCTGGGGACACGGCAGCTGGAGCAAGCGGAATGCTCCTTTCCACCTGTTCAGGGAGACAAAGCTGGCTCTCAGGATTATGACTGGAGGAAATGGGGGTGAATTCTGGGCTGAGGAGTAAGGAAAGGTGGGAGGAGAAAGGAAGGCTGAAGGGAATTCCTTCCGGTGCCAGGAATTTGAGGAGGATGGAAGAGCCAGGTGTGCTACGGAGTCCTCGTCAGCTGGAGGGCCAGGCTAGCTACCTGCTCCTGCCTAATAACTCTTTTAAAAAAATATTTTATTTTATATAATTTTTACATCATTTTTCATCTTTGCACAATGTATGCATTTTCATCATGGTTATGTTCCCCATACAATTGCACCCCCCACCCCTTATTTTGACTCTAGTCCTTCCTCTCCACGCCCCTCCCTCCCTCCCCCACCTGTAGTGTGTCTCTGCTTCATAGTTGTTTGTTGATTTTGATTTTTTCTTTCTTATAGTGATTCTTTTTCCTGGTCCCTTATTTAGGCTTTCTAGATTCCTGCTATGAGTGAGACCATCCGGTATTTTTCTTTTTCTTTCTGGCTTATTTCGCTGAGCATGATCCCTTCCAGTGCCATCCATGTTGCTGCAAACCGCATGTGTTTATCTTTTTTGATTGCTGAGTAATATTCCATGGTGTATAGTAACGCTTGAGGTCGGACTTGTGGGCCAGGTAGCCCTACCCCCTCCTAATAACAGAACGTGGAGGTGTTCAGGAAATGCAGGCAAGCGTCTTAGTGACCACACTCTAGAGCAGCGCTAGTTACGAGGGACCCAAGAGTCATTGTTGGTATCACAAAAGGCGAGATGAGTTAGAAAGAACTGATGATTGCAACATCGGGGCTTGTCATTGTCCTGAGATATTAAGAATATTTGGTACATAGGATGATTAGAATGGAAGTTCTGTGACACCAAAGCCGCAGTGGGGCGGCCAGGGAGACCCAGGTCTCCAAAACTTTTCCATTGCCTTTACTGTATAAACTGCTCACTTCTCAAACTCTCCGAATCTTAGTTTAAGCGTTTATAAAAGGGGAATCGTGTCTGGCTCTCGGGGTATCCGGCTCCTAGCAGCGTCACCATGCTTGTTGAATGAATGATGGAAAGCAAAGCTAAATAGAATTGTTTTTCTTTTAGATTGTGTTCTTTGTTTTTTAAGTCATGTTCCCTTTATTTCTTCTACTTCCCTTTCACTGCCTTCTTTTTCCATTCCTCATGTTTTTAGTCCCAGGATTGACCTCCTGGCATCATGTCAGCTCTAAGCCTGTCTTCACCTGCCTTATTCACTGGTTAGTAGTGTCCCCAGGGATTAGCCACGGAGGGGTTTTGAGAACTGCTGAGGCTGAGCCCATCTATCTGGGAAACACGCCCTTATCACCAGGTGAGCGGGAGGCTGCCCTGCTCCTGTGTGCCTCCTGGACAGGTCTCCAGGGGTAGGTGAGCCTCTTGGCGCATCTCCTCCACACCTGTGCTAGGTCTCGTGTGTGCCGTTTCCATGATCGAGAGGATACAGAGAGTGGGTGGTGAAGAGGAATGGGGAGAAATAACTGGACTTTTCCAGTAGAGACCACGTGGCACTCTAGAGGAAGAACAGAAATAGCCTCAAAGTAACACCACACAATTCTTCAGCTTGCCAAATCTCCCTCTGCCAAATCATACTTGTGTGCAACTTAAAGATGGAAGATGTAACTGACAGGAAGTAAGGGAAATAGGGCATGATGTTTAATGATTCAGAGATATCTTGGAAGGGAATGAGTGAGTCTTGTGCCAGCAGATGCAACAGGGGAAAGCTCCACGCATCCTGGAAACTTTTTCGCGGGTTGCACTTGCCATCCTGTGCGTCCATCAGCGGTGATGGAGTTGGTTGGGGTGGAGGGTGGGATACGCTGCATGAATAATTCAGAAAGTCTTGTTTTCTTTTTTTGGATCTGGAATGCAATCTCTTTTTGTGCAGCACACAAATATACCTTACTCATCATATTTAATTGCTAATGAAAAAAAAATTTCTTTAACTGAGGGTTGAGGAATCACCAAGGCCAGATTGTATCATGACCACGGAGAGAGGTGGGGAGAGCCCGCCCAAGGTGACTCCTCCAGCTTCCTACACTGGAAAAATAGCATCCACTAGGAGGGGGGAACAGCCATTGTGGGGATCTCTAGACAATGGTAACTCTTCAAAGCAAAGTGACTTTTCAGAAAAATTATCAGGGTATGGACTGTATAATCTGTAATGCAATAGAGGTGTTTTATTACCCAACCCTGCAGGTGTTTCTCCATTTTATCCTACATTCAGAGATAATATTTTATTCAAAAGATGACAGAAAAAGAGTTATGCCTGAAAAAGAAATTCTTCCTTTTGGAGGAAAAAAAAAGAACTTTCTCTCTCTCTCTCTCTCTCTCTCTCTCTCTCTCTCTCTCTCTCTCTCTCTCTCTCTCCATGCCAGCTACAATTGATCATTCATTATTGAGGTTTAGAAAATTTGGGGAGATAGAATATGTACGGTTGTGAAATAACATTCAAGTTCTTATTTTCTTATTGATCCTGTGGTGAAAATGAAACCCCTCATCTACCCTGCTGAGATTTAGAAATAGAAAACACCCCCGGAATGGCCTGATGCCCCATTTTGTTCATCAGCCTTTCACTCCTCGTCAGCTCTGACTGGGTCTGTCTTCTTTCAAAATTGGTCTGTCACCAGTTTTGGGTTTTGGATCAAGTTTTGCTTTCCTGTTCCCGTGCACTGGCGTACTTCTGGGTTGAGTTCTGAGAACTCTTGAATCTATTAACTCTTTCTCCTCGTCCTCAACAGCAAAGGCAGCTCAGGGCCGGCGGTGGGCTGGGTCCTCCTCGGCCTTTTGCCTGCCTTTGACTCTTCCATCAACGTTTCTCCCACGCCCTCACATTCTAGAAACTGAGAGCCTAGGCTCTCTTCTCCGTGAGCTGCCCATCTGCTCGCTCTCCATGGCTTCTCCCCGTCTCTCTCCCTATTGCTTCCTCTCCCACAGCCTAACCCAGCTATAAAATTTCCCCTGGATTTAAGCATCCTGGATATCGTCACTCATCCTCACTACATGATCACACCATGAGTAGCTGCCTTTTTAGGCCAGCTCCCTGGCCTTTATCACATAAAGAAGTTTGTTTTTTTTTTTAAGATTTATTTATTTTATTATTTATACAAGCACTGGGTACAGTCAGAAGCGCGGGAGGGTGAGAGAATTCACCAGAGCCAGAGCGGGGAGCAGAGCAGGCAGAAGGACCGAAGTACACTGCTGAGGGGAGCAGCGGGTAGCAGGAGAGGTCTGCGCACCATGTGGGACCCTCCTCCAGTGGCCGGGGAGCAGCCGGGGATTGAACCGGCGCCGCAGAGGTGCCCGGGCAGCTTTGCAATCCAGCGCTCAACCGCTGTGCCACCGGGGAGGCCCCAAATAACGAAGTTTTTTGTGCCTCACATTTTGTTTTGGTTGCAGACCAGTTGGTTCCTCGCCAGGAGTCACGAATCCCTCCTGTGCCAACAAGTACATCTTGAGATTGGGCTCTTTAACCACTGTGATCCCCAGTAACAGCATAATAATGATATTAGTAACTATGCCAACTCCTACCTAAGTGTTGACCATGAGCTGAGCACCCTGCGGGGTCTTCTCTTCCCGCGTCATTTACCCCTCACAATGACCCCACGAGGCAAGTTCTGCTGCAGAGGAGGAAACTCAGGTAGTCGAGATTCTGTGAGCTGCATGGGCTCATCCGGCACTGGGGAAGCCTGGGTGTGCACCTCGTGGGCTCTCAGCCTCTTCCTTCCCACCACCCAGGGACTCCTTAGCGTTTTGTCCTCACACCCAAAGAGCCAGCCAGACACGTGGGCAAGAACCAGGGGCAGCTAATGTTGGGAAATGTTCGTGGATTTTCTTTAGTTCTTAAAGGAAAAACAAAGGAGACCCAGGATACGCTAGTGAGGTGGCAAAGTACATCGACCAGCAAGGGTCTCAGCTTGACATTTTCTCGCTTGGGTCAGTTGGGTTCTCCTTGACCTCGGTGCTTGATGGAGTTTCTGTCACCACGGCCACGCTGCTCTGAAGCATGAAGTTACCATTAGCGATCCATCAGGACGTGGTTAATTTGGCTGCCTTCTTTAAGCAAAGGGCTGTGCAAGAAGTGAAGAATTCTTTCTGCAGCAGCAGCCTGGGAGTAAATGGTGAGAACCTTCCTTTGGAACACAGTTGGCAAACGCCAGGCAGAAAGGAGGCTTTCATTAGCTGGGCTGGTTTGCAGAGAGCTAAGGGGCTGTGGCCAGAGGCTCAGTGACCCTGTGTGTGGTCACTCAGCTTTGCTCCGTTCTGCGGTCACAGCCCACGCTCTAGATCCTGGCCAGACACCGTGTAACACATATGGCATGCCGCGACGGTCTCCGTGGGGCCGGGGAAATAAGGTGTGGATGAATCAGCTCAGCCCGAGTCACTGACCAGAGGAGTGTCGCACATCTGAAGGGCTGTGGGGTGGCTTGTCATGTCAGGCTCAAGGGCGTGGTCCTGTGGGATCTGTCTGTTCAGGAAATGGCCCCCTTGAAGAATATTGTCTAGTTTTTGGGAGACCCTAAGCACGGTTCTTCTGTTCACTACAAAGAAAGTAAAATTGAGTTCATGTAGATTAAGTGACGAGCTGTCAGTATGAGACCTTTTGCTTCTTGCTTTTTTGGCAGAACTCCATCTGTGGACCACCAATTCAATGGCAGATGTCTTTTCTATGCCAAGTTATCTTTAAATGTTCGTCAAAAATCAACTCACCATAGATGTGGAGTCTTTGTGATTCAACAGTTCATTCCATCAATCTACTTGTCTGTTTTTGCAAAAATACTTCATTCATTACCTGTAGTCTTTTAATAAAACTTGAAATCAAGTTTGGGGTTGGCACATTTTTCTGGGCCCTTCACTAGTGAGTATATTGTGGACTGGTGTCCTGCATTGGAGCTTCAGAATTCATAGCACAGATAAGGACATATTCAGGACGATGAATTTTCATGATGATTTAAAGCTAATAAACATGCATATTTACCTTGAATGGAAGCAATCTGCTGGCGGAGTTATTGGGGCTTCACAGATAATATTTTTCACTCATAAGAAAACTTTGACGATTGTGAACTTCTACGAACGATACTTGTAAAATATTTAATTTTCATAAGAAACCCATAAGACACATAATGTTATGCATTAATTATATCTCAAAAGAACTGGAAAAAAGAAAAGACTATGAGGCAGACATTTCCTGCTCTGCTTTACAAGCGGGCAATCTTAGGTATGAAGAGACAGAAAATACACAGAAGAATTAAACTGAGCTCATACAGGAAATTAAGTGGTAAAGTTGACATGCTCTTTGATACTTTCCCCACCTCAGAGGTCTTCAATCTGTGTCTGGAAGGCCTGCTGGTGCCTCGGGGCTTCTGTGAGTCCCCAGGGGATGGGTGGAGGGCAAGGCCATGGGCTCAGTTACACCAGACTCGGTTAGTCCAGCTCCCACCAGCGATCCTTTGGCCAGTGTTATAGATTGGAGTTCTGTTTAAAGCAAGTTTGCAAATCCTTTCATGCTGTCTTTCAAGACGAGGCTTTCTCTGTTTTTTCATGGGCAGAGTTCCTGGAAGGTTCGGGAGAGCGGTGAACTGTTAGAACTATTTAAGCTCTAGAGTGGGCTGGTAGAGCTGCTTTCCTGAGTGATTCCCCACGGGTCTATTGTCTGGACACCTCACGTGGCCACCAGTCACTGGCATGGCTGGTCCCTTCTTCAGTGCTCACGCTGACATCCGGACCTCACCCAGGTCAACTGCGGCTTGTTGCAGCCTTCACCCCTCCCGAGCCTTGGTGACTTCCTGCTTTGCACAGGCTATTCTCCTAGGCCTCCTTCTCTTCTCCATCAGCCTCACCCTTGGCAGCCACCTCAAGAAACCCAGCCTTCTTCTTCATCTCTCTTTCAGAAACTGGAAAGGTTTTTTTTCTGAATTGCTGATGCTCTTGCCTTTGCCAAAACCCCAAGGCCCAGATCCGTCATGTGCCAACAAGTACCGGGGGCGAGGTTGTTTGCATGAATTCAGAAGTGGCCTTGAATTTTTGCTGAAAATTCAGCCGACAGGGTCTCTCCTTCCCTACCACACCCTGACACACATGCTCCATGGCTGATCAGGAAATGTTTAATTGCTTCCCCCGCATTTTCACACTCTCTACCACCCTTCTTCATGATTGCTTTCTACTGATTCTTTCCCTATCACCTCTCATCTGCAAAAGTAATCAGAGGGCTCAGATCCCAAGACAGGGAGGGGCATCTGGGGGCACATTTCACCCAGACTCTTGCTTCTAGGCAGCAGCCACACTTGCCTGGGTAAAGACCCTCTCTTCTCTCTTTAGATTTTTAGTTTCCGCTCCTATTTAAGCACCTCTAGATTTTGCTTCTTGTGGTTTTATTTATAAATTTTATTAAAAAGCAACTCTCTTTAGAGTTGCTTTTCAGGACCTATGTAATGCGTGGAATGTAGAATCAAGACTGCCGTACCAGGGGGAGAAGTGGCGCCCTCTCTGCAGACAGATGTGTCGCTATCAACCTCTTTCCTGGGCCACCCAGGGTTCCCGGCAAATTCATGATCAGGGCTCTGCACAAGACATTGTCCATTGTGGTTCAGCTCTATTGTTGACTGATCTCCAAGCTCTATTGTTGACTTACTCCAAGAAAAATAAGATCTAGTATATGAAGGGAGGCTCAGTTAAAATTTGACAACATAAATATTTGGTAAATGAAGCTGTTTCTGTGGCAGTAGCTCTATCTGCCAAAGGAGAACAAGCTCAAAAAGTCAAGAATTGGAATCATCACCCAGAGAGAACAGGCCACAGCCTGATGCATGAAGACACCTCTTCCTCCCTTGCCTTCAATCTCAAGGCCAAAGGCACGGGGGGCTTCCCCTGGTGCCGCAGGTGGTTGAGCGCAATGCTGTTCGATCCCGGCCAGCCGACAAGGGTCCCACATGGTGCAGCAGATCTCTCTCCTGTCCTGCCCGCTGCTCCCCTCAGTAGTGTATTTCATCTGCCTGTTCTGTTCCCTGCTCTGTCTCTGGTGAATCCTTTCACTCTCCCGCACATCTGGCCTGTACCCCGGTTCTTGTATAAATAAATAAATAAATCTTTGGGCCTCCCTGGTGGTGGAAGCAGTTGAGCACAGCACTGTGAAGCTGTTCGCAGCCCCTGCAGTGTCGGTTCGATCCCCCCCAGATGAGGAGATACCCACATGACGAGCAGACCTCTCCTGTCCCGCCTGCTGCTCCCCTCAGCAGTGTATTTCAGTCATTCTGCCTGTTCTGTTCCCCGCTCTGTCTTTGGTAATCCTCTCACCTTCCTGCACATCTGGACATCCCCATTTCTTGTATAAATAAATAAATCTTAAAAACAAACAAACAGACAAAAAAACCAAAGGCACAGGATCGTGTGACCTGGGCCGGGAGGAGCAGACCAGGAGGAGACAGTGCCATCTCTGGCGAACCTCACCTCTTCATGGGATGGCAACTTAGCCCCTCTCACTTGACATTTTGGACATGGGGCCAGGAGGAAAGAGGGTATTGCTTTCTTGGGTTGTCGTTTCCCCAGGTGAAAGCTTATTTTGCTTTGCCTCATCCACACAGCTTTTTCCTCTTAACCTCTGCTGCATGTGAGCAGGAAGCTCAAGTACAAACAGTTTGAAATTCCAGTTTTGCCTTTTGCTCCTCAAGTCCTGACCCAGCAGCCCATAGCCTCCCAGGCTCATTCTGGTTGCTTTGAAAGCTCTCACAGGTTGACAGGTTGTCTGTTGTGTGTGGAGGTGAGAATCCCACGGACCATAACCCTCCCAAGTGCCTGATTTAACGTGTATCATTGACTCCATCCCCCTCCGCCCAAACTCCTGAAACGTGGGAAAAAGGGGAAAACATTTGAATATCCTACAGCATTTTCTTGGCCTGCAACCCTGAGCGTATCAAAGTGTGGCAGAGCACAGCTTTGCCACAGCAGGAACTCAGGTGACACCTATTGAGCCGAATTCTCCTTATCTTTGATAGCGGCTTTATTCCTGCTATCAGCTCACCCTACTTAGACCCATATGCCATTGCAGATGACACTTAGAGGGGGAACCACCTCCTGTACTTTCATTTTTCATGCAGGTTACTGTGGCCTAAAATGGCGACGTGATTTGCTGGCACTCTGTTGTCACTGAAATTAGCTTCAGGGGCTTTCCTCTCGAGTTCAAATGCAAGCCTCTCCTCATTGCCACATGGGATGAAGGTCCCCCCAACTTACCTCATGAGATAGACAAGCAGGATATTGAGAAACAACCCCAGCAGGTCAGACTTCCTTCAGACACTTCCTGCTGGTGCTTTGCTTGAGAGTCAGTTAAAAACTCCTGGGAAGAGTAAGAAGCACAACCTGGAGAAGGAAGAGACATGTTCTCTTTGATCACGGGACCCCATTTGATTGGGGTCTGCTGCTTCCCTTCTTGGTAGGAGTTTATTCCCAGCACGCTCAGCCAATGGCTGTGAAGAGCAGTGAATTTTTTCACCTGTGATTCCCCTGCTGTTGAGCAGGTGGGAGTCCTAGGGGTGGTACTCCAGTAATGAGTTGTTCCTTTCATGCCAGGACGCCTGATGGAATAGCCTTCTCCAGGTGTAAGTGCCCATCTGGGCCAAGGCTCCTCTGGGACCCCACCTTTGTTATGGCTGTCCTTTCTATTCACTAGACCTAGTTTCGAGGTCAAGCTCAAGGCTCAGCTGTTTCTTAGGGTGCTTTCTGAGAAGAAGCAAGAGCAGGTAAAGTATGCTATCTTCTCAGACCCCAGACCAGCGGTTCTCACACTCAAGCACACACCACAGTACCTGTGCCAAGGATTTCTAGGGTGGAAGAGGCATGTCTCAGTGGGATTTGGAGCTGCAAGTCCCTTGCTCTTGACACATGTTGAATGTTAGCTCGCCCTGCTGGACCATTAACTCACTGAGTGTAGCAGGAGTCTCTGATCCCCCAAAAGAAACTTGTATGGCTTTTTAGATTAAATTGTGGGGATTGTGGAAAACAGTGTTTATGTCTGGATAACTTACTTCTTGAATCACTTGCTTCTTATAGCATATATGTTAGTGCTAGTGCTTTGGGCTAGAGAACTGAATATATACCTGAGAAGGGAGAGGGTTAATTTTCTCTCTCTTCTTATTTCCTACCTGACCCTCTACCTTGTCCACCACTTTGCTGCTGCTAGCCTGAGACTGAGAGTTTTGACAGAAGACAACTGAAGACATAAGGTAGATCAGGCAGCTTCTGTCCAGCTTTCATTTCTAACCACCGTCCCTTGGATTCATCTTCTTTCCTATGTTTTTCTCCTTCAACTTATTTTGTATAAATAATGAGATTCTGTTATCCCAGTTTCTCTTTTTGGCACTGTAGGGTAAGGTAAAAGTATCAGGCTTTTCTGCCCTCCCCCCATTAGGATAGATGAGGGAAACCTGTGGTCCTGAATGCATGCCTGATGGCGGGCACCTGGAGGGGGTACACCTGGGCTGAGAGACTGAGTTTATAAGGGCGGCATCACAGGGACGCCAGCAGAAGCCAAGAACGAACAGAAGCCAAGAGAGGAGCAGAGAAGCCGAGAGAGAGAGCCACGAGAGAGCAGAGAAGCAAGGCCATGAGTAAATGCCGGAGAGCCCAGATAGAGTGAGGATTTGCTGGGGTCTGGGAGGCCTGCCAGCCTCCCGGCCCCCCAGCACCCCTACCTGCCATGTACCCACTAAATCCAAATAAAAAACCTGCAAAAACACTGAGGACTCTGACTCCTCATTTGCCCGGTCTGCTGGATCAGAAAACCTGCCCTGTGTCCCTCCTGCCCCTACAGGCACTTTCTTTATCACTCTTATTCCACAGAGAAGCTTTTCTTAAGTACTAACAACAGTGCAGGGGCTCGTAGGGGTTCAAAGTGAGCCAGACTAATCTTGTCCTTGACTTTCTGACCTCAGAAGATCTTTGATTTTCTGATCTTCTGACTACCTATCTCTTAGAAAATCTAGTTGAGGATGAATATAAATGTGCAAATAATAGACTTTTAAAGGTCAACCCTCCCAATTCTACAAAGTTGGAAAGCTTCAGCAAACACAAAATGCTTAAGTTGAAATGACACAATGTCGATCTGAGGTAAATGAAATTATTCCTCTGGCACAATATATACATAATGTTGAAATGGGTCCAGAGAGGACAGAATTGAAGTAATAATTCAGACTATCTTAAGACCAAAGGTAGAATGTTTTGAAATAATCATCTTGTAAGTTCTCATTCCAAGGACATTGGGTGGGACCATTCTGTAAGTAAAATCTTGACCATGAAAACAACTTCTGAAATTAAAATTCCAAGATAAGGTCCTTGCTTTCTGAAAGCAAAATATTGGGTGTCAGTACCTTTTAAAACCATTAATCTTTTTTTTTTTTTTACCATTAATATTTACCAAGTCTAACAAGTCACATATTTGCAATCTTGTATTTTTTTTTAAATTTTGTGACTTTCTTTTTAATTTTGTGCATAAGTTACTTTTACCTTATCGATATTAATGTTTTTAAATGGCCATATTTATCAATCATTTTAAAATGGAAACTCCTTAGTTTTATATATCTATATATTTTTAAAAGATTTATTTATTTATAAAAGAACCAGGGTACAGGCCAGATGTGTGGGAGGGTGAGAGGATTCACCAGAGACAGAGAACAGAACAGGCAGACTGACTAAAATACACTGCTGAGGGGAGCAATGGGAGAGACAGGAGAGGTCAGCTGCGCAATGTGGGTTGCTCCCTGGCCGGCCAGGGATCAAATTTGTACTGCTGAGGCTGTGGATTGTTTCATAGTGCAGTGTTTAATCCCTTGCGCCACCAGGAAGGCCCTAGTTTTATACTTTTAAAGCACCTTATCCACATCTATTCAGATAACTTCTCATCTAATAGTTTTTTATTTTCTCTTAAATCTGTAGTGATTTATTTTGGTATATTGTGTGAAATAAGCTAAATTCTTTTCCCCTGTATAATCAACTATCTCTCACACTGCACTGTTTATTAAACAAACTATCCTATTCCTTAGAGTTTCTACATCCATTTACTCTAGCCCATTGTTGACATCGTCCCAAGTAACTTCACCAGGAAGTCTGAACTTGAATTATATATGGTTGATAGGGAGGGTGGAAATTATGATGAAATGTGGTAGAAGTAAAATGAATTGTCACTGATATATTAAATGCCCAAAATTTGGGTATAAATTGAAGAATTTAGTTAAATAATGGAATATTTCATCTATTAAATTGGAAGATTGGTTGGGGTAAGCTGACTAGCTGATCAGTTAATTTGGGCTTCATTTATAGACACTCACCTTAAAGTCTTGAACATCTAGAATAGTGATCACACAGGAGGTGATAAGAGATTCTTTTTGGGATAAAGAAGATTTTCCCTTGTTGACCATATAATTACACAAGCAAATGGATGAGGAAGTCAGGTTTTGTTCTGGGTTATTTCTTGCTGATGCTCATGCAGCTGCTTTTCTTCTGGACGGGCAGTGTGGAGACCAAGTAGTTTCAGTAGACACACCAAATCCTGCAAAGGAAGACATTCCACTGGCTTCCTGAATCAGTCACTCTCTTTACAAAGCAGGATGTCAGCTGCTGCTCTGGCTGAGGTCAAGGTCCTTTGTAGAGCCACATGCTAACAATGGGGCACTATGACTTCTGGACTCTTCTTTCTCATTCAGAATGACATCTGGCCATGGAGTTTTAAGTCATCTGAGTTCTTTGTGATGGAGCCACTAAGGGTATATCCTGTGTTCCTTTGAGGTTAGAATTTGCTGTAATTGAGGAAATGAAATCCAACACACCCAGCTCACCCCACCCAAGCTCTGAGAGGGTCTAGGAATCCCCAGTGTTGTTAGAACAAAGAGTTCAGCACATAATTCTCAGAGGACTTGATCAGTGTCAATTTGCCACCCTGTTGGCTCCTTCCTTGAGAAAGTCTGTCCCATTTTAGAGGTTGTTAATTTTATGTTCAATATTTTTGAGTGTGTTGATAATAGTTTTAAATCCAGTTTGCATTATGTTTCATCCCTGCTGTGCAGAGCAGGAAACTTGAAATTCTGAGAGTTAGGGCTGGTGGTGAAAAGACCCCTAGACCGTGAAGTCTCTAGTTCAGAAAATGTACAACTAAGCCTGCTCTGTGTGCATCCCCCAACTTGTCTCCACCCTCCCATTTGTCACAGCGCCCCTCCCTTCCCTTAAGACAGTTCAAAACTCTTCCCAAGTTAACACCAAACAATAGAATATTCCATTTGCCTTTCTCATGCTCATGACCTGCCTAACTCAATGTCACATGTGATATCTAGAGGAGTTCCATCTATTTTGCATGTCTTAAAATTTCATTATTTTTCTCTACATAAACTCCTTGACTGAAGGTTCAACATACAATCAACACATGCAAACACACATCAGAGTGTTCAACTTGGATGATCTTAGAAATATTCCTTTTGGCAATTTTTAATTAAATTTTTGGTAATTTTTAATTTCTTCAATTAAAAAGAGAGAGCAAAGAGGTTTATCTGTTTAAGTAGGCTTAGTTATGCATTCATGTAAAGCCAGAGAATGATTTAGAAGACTTTCTCAAGCCCTGACACTGTTGGGATGATGGAAGCCCAGAAACATTTTATGGTGAAGACAGGAAGGATTGGAGGGCTCTCAGGCAGTTCTGGGAGGCTCCCATTCTCTAACTCTTCTCCTCCCCTCCAGGATTGACTAGCGGAAAATTGAAATCATCAGGATTCATTGTGTTGCAAGTATAGACACTCAATTCAAATCAGTTTAAGTAAAACAGGATATTTAATGGTCATTGAAACTAGAAGTCCAGGAGGGAAGGGATGTAGGTAATGTTTCTCAGTGTTCTTTCCCTTGGCTTTGCCTTTCCCCTGTGTTAGTTCTATTTTGGGAGCAGACTATTCTAGCAAAGGCAGTGTCAATCCCATAATTTAGAGCATAAACAGAAAGAGAATATCTCTTTTTCAAAATGTCCAACCAAAGTCCTGGGGACTTCCATTGGCCCACCTTGGCTCATGTGACCTCCTCCAGAGAAATCACAGTGGCCAGTGGAATACACTCCTTTTGTCAGCCTAGCCTCCTCAAGGGCTCACCCAGAGCCAAGGGTGAAGAGCAGTCTCTCCCAAACCACATGGATGGCTTACCCGAATAACACAAGGTTGTTCTTTCCTGCTGGGCAGGCAGAGCAATCCATATCCATTTAAACAGATGGTGGATGGTGGATGGAGATTGCTCACTCTGCCCTGGTTGAGCCTGGAATTGCCCTTTACTTTGGACAAGCAAATTAAATCTCTGGAACATACAAATGATGCCAGGTGGAACCAGAAAGATTTACTGTACAATTAAGTTGTTATGTGGGTTTATAATTGGGCCTTTATTCAGCCCTCCTCCATATGACTTCATCTTCCTTCTGTCTATATCTAGATCACACCAGCCCTCCCTATTGTACCTTGGAATTTTCATGAACCCACACTCAGGTCCATTAGAGAACAAATACCTTTTGGTCTCTCTCTCTCCTTGCTGGGAAGCATGTGTTATAGTCCACAAGGTTGCCATGGTTCTACTACATTGCCCTTCAGATGGCTGCCCAGATGTTGGTCTGCACATGGGATATGGCTGACCCCATTGATGGTTCCCTCTGCTCAATAAGGGTGCTCTGTGTCATGACCTTCACATGAGAATTGGCATGGCAAAGCAAAATAGTATTGGACAGGGAATTTAAAAATATGTGTTCTAATCCTGGCACTAACTAGCTGGGTAACTTCAGGAATGTATGTGGGTCATTTCTTCCTCTACATTTTATTATGCCCTCTTCAACGTAACCAGTGACACGTTTTAGTGCTCATCTAGTTTGAGAATTCTCTATACTAGTTTCAAGTTTTCCCCCTGAAATTATAAAGCTTATCTTTCAAAATGATTTCCTGAGAGTAGACATGAAATAGAAGAAAGGATTGAAACACAATTGGTCCACTGAACAAGCATGTGATTATTAACCTGTCTGTGTCTCTCTTTCTTCATCTTTGAAATAGGACTAGAGGATGTCCTGAGGATTAACTGGGTCACTACTTGAGAAGTGCATTAGATATAGCATAGTTTTTACTGTTGCTGATATTGTATAAAGTATAGAATAATGGAATGGGATATATTTTTGGAGTTCATAGGAAATCATGTCTAATGACGCAGCTGGTCTCATTTTTGATAGATTTAATTAATATTATTATGTAATTCCCATTGCTCTTGAAATAGTTGAAGATATCATTACATTTCCTCTTAAACATTCCTGTGTTCTTCAATTTCTTTCCATTGTTATCATTGCAAGACTGGCCAGCCATGGCTATGTTCAGTTTTGGTTATGCCCCCATCTAAGTGAGGTAAGTAACTTAACACTAGAAGAGACCTAAGTGGTGCTCAACTTATCACTTCTCTTGACATGTAATCTCACTTTTATTAGTGCTGCCTGGGATTGGGTTTCTTTTCTAGCAGCAAAATCATGTTTGAGGCTTACAGTTAGCTTGTATCTAAAAAAATCGCAAGTTGTTTCCATATAAAACACTGGAAATTATATTTAGAATTCAAGATCTCTGTCTGACCTAATCAAATTTACCTTCTGGGTTAAATTTTGAAAATCTTTCGAACACAAAATGAGGAAATTCTGACTTTAGGCATTTGTGGTCAGTTAAATGGACAGTATTTTATTTATTTATATTTTTAAAAGGAAGTCAGAAGGAGCAGTGAGGGCCAACATGAGGCTGAACAGAGTACTTAGGCTGTGATCTGAGCTTCTGTCTCTTCTGCAGAATTGAGAGTTATCTGTAGTGTCATCCTGGCTGTAGACTTGGGAAGCTGGGAGACAATCCCTTCAGCTCAATAGTTTTCAATACTTTGATTCATAGGATTTCTTGGTGTTTTGTTGTATGTTGTTGTGTTTTTGGGAAGTGACTAGACAATCTCTGTAACTCCTTTCTGACCCCCAAGTCACACCTGAAATAAATCAATGAGTTTGCATTTGGAGATAATGCCTTTCCATCAATAATCTTTGTGTCTCACCTAAGAGAGAAAATTGGTGTTTGGTAGGAAAGTACCATAAACTGTGTCCCTGTGGCCACCTATATTAATTATCAAAATTCAGTTTCTATCATTCAATTAAAAAGGAGGAATTCTCTGAGCTCAGATATTTCTCCATTTCTAGGGGGACTGAACCCTTTCTATTTCCAAATATTAGCTATTCTTTATGTACATATCAAAACCGTACCTAAGAATTTTTATAATTCAGTCCATTTTTTCTCCATTGGCCCCAGTATAACATAGTGAAATGTATAGATACACACATAATAAAACATCTATCTATAGTGTATATGAATGCACACACACACATATATATATATATATCTCTCAAAGCATCTATACGAAGCTGTGACAAAATGGCATTACCTTATATCCAAGGATTCTTGCAATCTGCTTATAATTTATGAAAACACACATACTGGTCTGACTCAGATTTTCTCAGTGAGTGAATCTTGCTCCAGATCATCAATTACTTCAAGAAGGCTCATTAATCACTTGTTTGAGTTTCTAGAAAATAAAATCAAAGTATACATAGTTAATGTCAAGTTTACATGTTTTGATTTTGCCAATCAACTTTTATTGTTATCTTAAAAATTAAGAAAACAATTCTCTATTATATTTCTTTGGGTCCTTTCCCCATTTTACACAATTACTCAATGATCCCGAACTTTGCATCTGAACATCTTTTGGACCTCATGCCCCCCCCCCTTTTTTAGCAGTGTTATCAGTCCTGGTGGCCTCCTTTTGTTCTGGCCCTATTCCCAGATCACTGGGCACTGAACTTCCTGGGTCTGCTCTGTGCTTCATGCCTCTCATTACCCAACCTCAGCAGGAGTTCCTTTGCTTCTGCTCCACTTCTTCACCAAGTCCTTGTAGACATCCAGCATCCACAGCCCTTCCCACTTCTAGATGCTAACCCAGCCCCTCCTCTGCCTGCCTGGGTAGGTCTCATTACCCACCTGTGCAGGCTACCCTGCACTAGCTTGCCTTTCCTTCCCTCCACTGCATTTGAGTCTTTGTGATAAGAGTGAGGAGACAAGAAAGAAACTTGAAGGTCCCATTCCCCTGAATTTTGACCTTACAAATGCAGTCATCTTCCCTTACCTTTGCTTTTGGCAGTTTTAGTTACCTGCAGCCAACTGCAGCTTAAAAATATTGCACAGTAAAATATTGAGAGAGACATTCACATAACTTTTACGACAGTATGTTGTTATAACTGGTCTATTAGTTATTTTTATTAATCTGTTACAGTGCCTGATTTATATATTAAGCTTTATCATAGATATGTACACAAAGAAAAAATAGTATCATATACAGGGTGTTGGTGCTATCTGTGACTTCAGGAATGCACGGGGGAATTTAGGAGGGATTTATAGGACTCACTGTAGGTCTGTCCTCATCTTTACAATGATCTAGTTCATTTGGATGATTATGATATTGACACAATGATGATGATGAAGACAACAGTACAGCAGTCACCTGAGTACCATGTGCTATGGATAGACCAGTTACCAGGTACAAGGCACTGTGGCTGT